TGGCCCAGGGCAGGGGACCCCCAGCTCATGGGAGCACCAGGTGAGGCCCCAGCAGGGGGATGGAGGGTCCGGGCCAAGGCAGCAGTGCAGGGCAGTGGCAGGACTGGTGGTCTTCGGCTCAGGCAGGGAATGGCAAAGTGGTGAATGGAGCATATTTAGTGCTGAAGGGCTCTCATTGCCTCATCTTCATCCCCGGGGCTGGAAGCGAACGTCTGCTCCAAGCAGCAGGAAATTCTGGGAGAAAGAGGGAAAGCACTGGGCTGCAACAGGCCCTGGCAGTTGCATTGCCCAGCACCCACAACATCCCTGAACGGAGAATGGTTCGGACATGTGCTCTGGTTTGCTGCTGTCCTTTGTGATTTCAGTGAAGAGCACCCTCCCTTTGTAAGCTTCCAGCACAGCTGGGAGAACTGGATTTGGAGGACCTGGCACAGCGCAAAGCCTGTGTGTGCAAGAGCTCTGGGCAGGCAGGGCCAGACTGCTCACCTGGGGAATGAAGGCTGAGAAGATAGAGGTGTCCAAGCTGAATCCTGCATCCTTTGGGATCTGCAGGGAGAGGACTGGGTCACACTGGGGCAATGTGGCACAGAGGAGCCCATGGCATTCCCACATGCTGCCATGTCTGACAGCTCAGCCCCATCCCACAGCCCCCAGCTCTGTCACTGGGGCTTCTCCAGGATTGCTGGCTGCTCCCGGAGCTCCTGAGCAAATGGAACCTGTGTCTGTGCCCTGTCCCGCTTGTGCCACTCACCATGGCCTCTGTGATTTCAAAGACCAGTGCCCCGGCCTTGTGGTAGGCAATGCCAGCTGTGTTGAAGAAGTAGCTGGAGGCTCCAAAGTAAACCATGCGCTCGTGATCCGAGGGGAAGGCCAGTGGCAGCGGTGAGAAGGGGACGGTGGAGCGGTGGGCCAGGGAGTAGAATTCACCCTGGGAGGAGGGAGAGACATGGAGAAGGGGTGCAAATTCCCTGAAGGGAGAATGGATTGGGACATTCTGCCAGTCTGTGTGCCTGTTTTCCCCCTGGAAGTCTCTGGAGGCATTTCACAGCCATACCTCACTTCAGCTTTTCAGCACCCCCATGGAGACCCTGCTTTGGTGTTTCTCTAAGGCACCCCACAACAGGGGCTCTCTCTGCTCTCCTGGTCCTGCTACAGCTCCTTACAGCTGAGCAGGCAGGGGCTGCATCCTCCCAGGCATCACAGCATCCATCCCGGCATTGCCAGTCAGGGAGAGGATTTGGGACTGACACTGCTATAAAAAGTGTTCTGGGAAATTCAGTCCCCAGGCTTAAGAACGGGAGGATGATGTGGTCCATCCCAGACACCCACCATGCAACCAGGAAAACACAGAATTCATTTGCTGCTGAGTGTTCCCATGCACCATTTCCTAGCACAGCTGGGAGAACTGGATTTGGAGGCTGTGCTGGTAAGCAGGGCTTTGTGGGCAGCACGATGGGCCCCAGCTGGGGCCAGCTGCTCCCTCTCACTCACCTGGTGGAACCTCACAAGGATATTGGAGAGCTGAATCCTGTCCGGTAGTGGCAGACCAGATGGCCTCCACTGGCATCTGGGCAGTGCCATGATTGGGCTTCCTGGTGCATCAGCTCACTACCAACTACCCCTCCGCTTGCTTCTCTTCTAAAGAGAAAAAAAATTTTCCTCCTTGATGTGTCTCAGCAATGCAAACCATCTCCTGGACCTGAGGAGGGGCCTGGGTCCCCCAGCTCAAGCAGCCTGAGCCCCTGACAGTCCTTGGGCATAGATTATGAAGGGATCTGCAGACAGGACACGCAGTGATTTCTCTCAGCTGAGAAGGTGCTCACCAGCTCCCAGCTTGGGTGACCGAACACAAGAAGATGGGGAGTGGACACAAAGTAAAACATTCCTCATGGATGGGGAAAGCTTGGAAGAGCTGCTTCTAAACCCACTTACAGCCCCCCCAGTACCTGGCAGCGTCTGGATGTACGTCTGGAGCTCGTTTTTCACAGACTTGGCCACATTGTCACACACCTGCGGGACAGAAAGGCCACAGAGCTGAGCAGGGCCAGCCGGGTCACAGCCATGCTCCCTGCTCCATGACAAAGCCTGCTGAAGTGAATGAGCACACAGTGATGATTGCCTCCATTCACCAGGCAGCACATTAAGTGTCCAAGACACAAGCAGGGTTTGTACCTACAAGCATCTGCTTGCAGCAATTTCCCCTCAGCACAGTTCAGCTCTGAGGAGACCCTTGGAAGGAATCTCCTGTGGCCCATGCAGGAATGAACTGTGCTGAGCAGCCAGGGCATGGCCCAAAAATTACTACAGAGAGGATTAATCCACCCCACAGGGGCAGGAGCACTGGCTACCCTGAAGCTGAGCATTGCTTCTGTCATCCACAAGTGAAGCTCTGGAAATTTACTGCGGGGAACTGTCCTACAGATGGCTGAGGAAATCTGCACAAGCTCCTTTCAATGTTTTCACTGTAACATCACAGCAACCACCAGCAGGATCTGTCAATTGTCTGACTGGGCATGCAGCCCACAGAGCTGATTGTGAGATGCAGCGCTGCGGCGGGGCAGCGACCACACTGACAGAGATGGGGAGGAGGAGGCGACACAGCCATGGGCATGGCCTTAGTGACAGCAGGTTGCAGCTCTTCCCTGTCCCCAGTGATATTTTTCTGTCTGTGCTGGAAATGCTCCATTGCTGCAGGCAGAAAAGTGCAGTCCCTGTGACTGGGATTTCCCCATGACCTGCATTTCCCTGTGACCTGGATTTCCCTGTGACAGGGATCTTCCTGTGGATGGAGTCCCAGAACTGGGGGTACTAGAACTGCCCAAGCATTGCAGCAGCAGGCAGACACAGGCTGCCTGGCCTGGGTTGAGCCCAGCTGTGCCCAGAGTGCAGCTCAGTCCCTGCCTCTGCCCTCTCCTGCCCATTGCCCCTCACACCATGACTCCATAAACACAATGAAGAATGTGTGTGGGGCAGAGGAGGCTTGGAGGAGGAGCAGAGGGCAGTGGGGTCCCTTCACAGTGCCAAAGCTGTCCTCCTTCCAGGGGACAAAACAGCAGAAAAGGCCTCTGAGCCCCGGTGTTGCTCCTGCTGCCAGACCATCTGCTGCCACAGACCCCAGGGGAATTGGGAACGGTGTTGCATGGAATTGGGAATAGTGCCTGGGCAGGATGGGATCTGCTGCAGGAATGGGATTTGCCTGTTCTCCAACTGCCTCCTTCCCAACGAAGGTTCACATCCAGAGAGGCTGTAACTCATGCCAGTTATCCTTGTAGTAATTATTGCTAACAGCTTGTTTCCATGTCTTGTTGCAGGTCTCCTGCATGTCAGTGTCTGTAGTGGGCAGCAGGACCAGAGCTCCCTGACCCCCTCAGTAAAACAAAACACCAAATGTCTGAAATCCAGGAATGAGAGTTCCCCCCAAATGCTCCCCAAAGCCCTCCGAAATACAGCTGCTTAAAGGACAGCTCTGATCAGGTTACAATGAGTTGGCTGAGACAAAAGATCTAATTAACTGACCACATGGAAAGAAAAGTCTTTGTTAATTAGCAACCAATTATGTTGGGCTTTGGCAAAGGCTCCAGGTTTCAAATTCACCCTGAGTCACTCTATGCTATGGAGCCTGCAACGCCCGTTCCTTTGGTTTTACTGCACTGGCAATGTAGTCGTATAGCCAGTGCTCTGACTACAGTTACATCCCTACATCTGATCCTTCCAGCACACCACCCACAAGTGAGGGTTAAAGACCACCAGAAAAACCAGGACCCTACCCTCGACTGCACACATACCTTGTCCTCCAAAATATTTCGCAACTTGGACTCAATAACGCGGTGGAACAGGTTGTAAAGCCACCTGCAGAGAAGCAGAGAGAGAAGCCCTGCCCAGCTCACATTCATACTGTAGAAGTATGTGCCCAGGAAAGGGAGAACCTAGACATGCAAGACCCTGAAAACATCAATTCCACACCAATTTGGCATCTGGCTTTGCCCCAGGGTTTACATTGGAAAACAGACTCACTGCTAAACCACACCCACCCCCCTTTAATGTGCAGCCACAGCAGGAGAAATTCAGGCCAGATTTAAGACCAGGCAACCTCAGATTTGCCAACAACATACTCCTCACACCAGGACTCCATTCAAAATGCAGAGCAACATTCCAGTGGCAGGTGGGCTAACACACAGTGTTTCCAGACCTTCCAGTGAAGCCACATACCCAAGCTTGCCTGAAAAGCGCACACGGACTTTGGAGATGTGGGCACTGCAGTCTGCGGTGCTGATGGTGGGCTTCCCAGTGGTGTCACTGCCCAGCCTCAGGATGATTTTCATGTTGACATTTTCTACCTTCAGGTTGAAAGATCCATGTCCCCGTCTACAGAGAGAAGGGGGATGAGAAAGGGATATTTGTCAATGCCCAGGCCTGGTGAAGAGACCTCAAATGTGCCTCAGGATGAATCTAACGAGATCACTGTCCCCCTTGCATTGTGCATCCAACAGCCTCAGGATGATTTTGATGTAGATATTTTCCACCTTCAGGTTGAAAGATCCATGGTCCCGGCTGCTGGTAGAGGGAGATGAGAAAGGGATATTTGTCAATGCCAAGGCCTGATGAAGAGACCTCAAATCCTCTTCAGGATGAATCTATCAGGATAACTGTCCCCCTTGTATTGTGCATCCAGAGGAGAGTGGAAAAGTGTTTAAATTGAGGGGAACCAAATTTCACTGGCACATTAACCAGGAGAGGTAACCTTTAAATAGAGGGAAGAGAGAGCAAATAGGTGTGGTAGAAGAGAGACCTGAGGGTGCATGTATAGCTAATGTTTCATTTGCCTTGTTCCTGCCTCCCACCCTGTTTTATCCATCATATATAGGGGAGCAAATGACAGCTGCCCAAAACACAAGGGAGAGGGAGTGGAGATAAAGCCTGTTCAGATCCAGAGAGTGAGATAGAGAGTGGGGGCCTGAATAGGGAGAGGAAGAGCTGGGCACTCACATGAAGAGAAACTTCACCCGCCAGTCCCCATCCAGCTCGGTATAGGCATTGGAGATGGCGACCTGCAGGCCCACATTGGAGATCGGGGTGATCCGTGAGTACGGCAAGTGGAAATCACGAAGGCGCAGTCTAAAAATATACAAATGAAAGGAAAAGCCATGTTACAGTGGTTTCTCCCAAGCACAAGGGGAGGGAGGGAAGGAAGGCGAGCAGGATGGAGTCCCTGCACTGGCAGCATCACCAGCTGCAGTTCTGCTGCAGTGAAGCTACACCAGGCAGGGACACAGAGGGCAGAGTGGCACCTTTGGGAATGTGGCCCTTGCAGCCGCCCAAGGCAGCTCCAAACGCTGCACTGCAGGAGCACAGAGGCACCCGGGCAGCAGGGAGCTGGCATTTCCACAGGGACTGGGCTCCTGCTTCACACAGGAACGTGTGCCCTGGTCCCACAGGCAAGGCCATCTCCACTACCCAGTCTTTGATTGCACACAGTCCACCCATGCCCAGAGTGCCGTGACCCTGGTTCCAATTTTCCCATTGGGCAAGGAGTAAAACAGGAAGATATCTGCATGCACCAAGGACAGGGCCAACGTCTCAGGGGGCTGTGGACGGGACAGGATGGTCCTTACTACTCCGGGGGCTCCCCACCACCCCCACTCTTCCTGACCGTCACCCGGGTTGGGGGTAGTGGGTGGCTTCTGCCACTGGCAGGTCTCACCTGGAGAGCTCATAGTGTACTTTCCCCACACGCAGGACACGAGAGTCCCCTGAGAAGTCTGGCAGCTTCAGCTGGGCCAGCTCCTTCTCCAGGATCGCGATCCCCTGCTGTTGGGCTGCAGGGACACAGGGAGAGCATGACTCCACCACTGCTACAGGAGCTGGAGCACACAGTGGGCATGGAGCAGAAGGATCAGACGAGAGACCCAGGTGATGCTGCCTCCCCAACTGGCTTTAAAACAAACCTCAGTGCACAGAGGCCTGTGAGCACACAGGCAATGCTGCCTGGTGCCCTGCTGGCAGCCCCAGGGGAAGGTAGTGGCCCGAGAAAGGAGAGAGGTGTCACTTTCCTGGCTGCCAACCAGGCGAGGTGTGTGGAAGGTCCAAGGCACAGGTCTGCTCCATGCCCAATGCCAGCAGGCAAAGATGGATGGAGCTTATGTCCCAGGGAGCAGCACGACATCCCTGGGTGCTGCACCCCAGCCTCTGTCTGAGAAGGGGAGTCACGTTCTCTCCCACACGGCTGGCACAGCTGCCTGGTAAATGAGCTGTTTCTCACACAGTGTATTTCAATCCATAACTGCGCTCTGCTGGAGCCAGGGCTCAGCCTGCCTCGATAAAACCAGCACGGGGCCCATCCATCTCTGTCACTGCCCCTCCCTCAACTCCCCAGCTCCTCTCTCTGCAGCTCCCTCCTCCAGGGCTCACGGCTCTGCTGCCTGGATGTGCTGTGGGACCAGCACCCTCCTGCTGTGCCAGCCTCCCTCACTGCCTGGCTGCAGCTCCCTGACACCCCACAGGGCTGGTCCCCTCTGCAGGGGCTCCATCAGCCTGTGCAGTGGTGGGCAGGCAGGTGCAGCAGGGGAAGCCCTGGCCCATGGTGCATTTGGCACCCCTGTCCGAGGATTTCCCCATCCTGTCCCAGTGCTCCTCACATGGGCACCCATGGCCACCGATCCCCCATCCTGCCCCAGGACCCTGCACTTCCCACAGGGTACCTGGCTCCACACCTCTGCCACCAGCACATATGTGAGGAGAGAAATCAGAAGCAGAACCCACCGTAGTCCAATCCTGCCTGGGTGATCCTCACCACGAAGCCGGGGTTGGTGGCGGTGGCTGGGCGGCTGCACCAGGGCCACCACCCCAGTGCAGTGCCCTGCACCTCCAGACCCTGTCACAGGGCTCCTGCACAGAGCAGCCACGCATGGCAGGAGACCTCCATCAGCCCAGGATCAAGCTCCAAAGACAAGACCTCTGAGGCCTGATGTGTCACAGCTCTGGTCACGATGGCTGGAGACAGGGCAAGGAGCTGGGTGCAGCCAGGCAGGTGTGAGGGGGGAACACCCTGTGCCACCCCAGCCAGGAGAGCTGGGCTGGCTGGTCTCTCTTTGCAGGACAAAAGTGAGAGAAGAAGAAATTATTCAGTTACTTTCATTTCCTGTTGGTGTCCAGGCACAGGAAACCCATGGCTGCTGATGCAGACAGATCTCATGCTGGATCCAAGGAAGTCCTGGCTGCCAGAGGCAACATCCTTGAGGCAGTTAAGGATGTTGTGAAATGCAGCTGTTGCTCAAGCACAGCAATCCCTTGGTGCTGCAGCCTCAGGAGACCCCAAGGGATGAGGCCATGTAGTCTGTGCTAGAGGAACTCAGCACGTGGAGATCGAGGATAGAGAGACCAAAGCATTCTGTTCCCCTTTGCCTTTTGTCCCACAAGTTTTCAGCAGGGTCACTTGCAGGCTGCGTGGCAGACAACCAGTAAATGCCCACCGGGATTGCATGAGTGGCTATGGCTTTTGGAAGGGACACTGCAGTCACTGTCAGCTCTGGGACCTGGGAAACAGGGACATAACAAGGATGGTGCCTGCAGAGAACTACTCAGGTGTGTCCGACAGGCACCCACCATCACCACCACAGGCTGTGACTCTCCATCAGTGCCAGCCCAATCCACTGTGGGAGCCAGGAGCCCCTGAGCAGAGCTCTTTTTGCCCAGAAAGAAACATCCAAGAGCAGAGGTGAAAGGTGAAAGGCAAAAGGCTCAGGCTGGGGCAGTTAAGCTCCTTGGGCTGTGAGCAATTCGGGTACATTTGCCATCTGCAAGAAATTCTGAATACATCTTTGTCTTGTGGTGCCATAACCTGCCCATTTGCCATCTGCAAGGAAATCCGGACACATCTTTGTTCTCTGGTTCCATTACCAGCCTGGGATTTCCCCGGGCAGCTTGTACCAGTGCCAGAGGCAGGACTGCTGCTGCTCTCCAGCCTCACGCTGGCAGCAGGGACACAGCAAGAATAGTGGGAGCAGCCTGCTGGGTTTGGAGAGAACTTGGAAAGAGAAGTTGTCAACCCAAAATAAATCCTCCCATACCCGTTTCCAGGATGGACAAGTTCATTGTCACCCACAGGACTGGGCTGTGGTCAGGATCTGTGGCAACTGTGGTTGTCTCTAGACCAACAGGGACTTCACCAGAGCTCGGAGAAACCCTGTCATCAAGGTGTGGGCAGCTGTGGCTCCTGCCCACTGCACCACCTGTGTGGTGTCAAAGCCTGAGGCTGTCCACAGTCACCTGCACATCTCTGACAGCCTCTGACACAGCAGCAACTAAAAATACAGCTGAGGAACATGTGGGGGCTCCTCCACAGTTGTTTTCCCAGCTGCAGGCTCAGCATGACCCAGCCTCAGCTGTTCTTGGAGCTGGGAGGGCTCTGGGCCAGTGTGGGGTCACTGCTGACGCCAGCCCTGACCACTTTACCCAACACAGAGAGGAGGGACATCCACAGACCCCAGAGCTCACAGAGTCAGAGCCCATGGGGCACAGCCAGCAGCAGATGTGGGGATGGCCCCTGGATGTGGGGATGTGGGGAGGAACCACCAGGGTCCCACTGAGTGGCAGCCCCACAGACCAGCCCTGATGCTGGGCTCAGCACTCTCACCCTCCCTCCACCCCAACACCCCCCAGTGACATCCCAGGGGACCCTTGGGACCAGCACTGCACTCAGTGTGTCTCCCCTGCCAAGGGCTGCATTCCCTCAGACAGGCGGGCTCCTCTCGCAGCACGCCAGCTTGTGACACTGTCTGGGAGCCTCATGGGACACAAAAGGGGACACAGAGAGCTGAGAGGGTTGATTTTGCAGAAATGTAAAAATAAAAATGCAAGAATGGTGACCTCGAGCAGAGCCTAGGGGGATCTGAATGGTGGCTCTGTGCCGGCAGAGGGGCAGGGCAAGAGGCCACATGCAGCCTGTCCCAGCAGCTGCTCGGGACAAACAGGACGTGGAGAACAGGAGCAGCAGAGGAGGGTGAGCTCATGGGGTGAGGGGCCCCAGGGGCACTCGGGTGGCCCCCAGAAGCTCTGCCTTTTGCTGAACTTGCTCCCCAGCACCCTGATTCCCAGCCTTGCTGTCTGAGGCTGTCCAGTGGCCATGGGGAACTGCTTTGGGGGATGTGGGGATGCAAAGCTGGACCTGCTGGTTCCCTCTGCGGGTTGGTCTGGCTGAGCACAGGTGGCAAGAGACACCTCAAGGTGCAGGAGGGGAGCTGCTGCTCTGGTGCAATGTGGTGGGGACCCTCTGGGCTCAGCTCCACATCTCTCTCTTCCTGCCCACCAGTACCACAGAGGAGAGATCCATTGTGCTGGTGCCAGGACACAGTCACACTGTCCTCCTCCCTGCCCTCAACGCCCTCTCCTGGCCCTGCTGTCCATCGAGAGATGCAAGAGCCACAGCTCTTGGGTCCATTTCAGAGGTAACCATGCAATTAAAAAAGGTCACAGCCTTGAGCTCACCTTCCCCTGCACTCAGAGGAGCTGTGAAAAACCTGAAGCTGGTAAGTGAACTAGCACAATTACAGGAGCAATTGGCTGCTGGTGGTGAAGGGGAGCTGCCCTGCTGGTCCCAGTTGGCACTTGGGATGCTGGCTTGGAGCCAAGGGCCAGTCCTCTGGTGGGCTCAGCTGGGCACCCCAGCCTGGCAGCCTTGGCCGAGCCTCTGCCCACCCGCAGGACCAGCACTCGTGATCCATAGGGGCGGCGGGAGGGCTCTCACCAGCTCCCAAGGAAATGGGAAGCAAACGCGAAGGCCTCACTGGCGCCGTCCTCCCTCCCACACGCCAGCAGCCCAGCTGCACCTCCTCCCGTCTCGGCTTGTTTTCACAGCGTGTCCTTTGGCCGCTCGCTGATCCCTGGACAAATGTTCACTAGCGAGACAGCCCCGGCAGCCTGCAGCCCACGCTGCGGCCGTCCCACCCGCCCTGGTGCTTTCCCAGCCCCAGCGCCGGCCTTGAGCCCATTCCCACGAATGCAACAGTGGAAATGACTGCAGCCTGAGCAAGGCACAGACAGCCTGGGAGTGCTGGACGTTGTGCAGGGCTGGCAGAGCTGGTGATGCTGTGCCCACAGTGCCTGGGGTTGGGAGAGCTGTGCCCAGCATGCCTGGGGTTGGGAGAGGTGTCTGTGCCCAAGACTGGCAGGGCTGTGTGAAACAGTATTTTGCCTTAGGAGACAACAAATCTGTGGCTTTGGCTCTTAGGCTGGTTGTTTTTGTACAGTTCTGGTTGCTGAATCCCATGATCCTGCCCCTACTTCCCATCCCTGGAACAGTTCAAAGTCCCGAGAGAGGCACTCACTGTCCTGATGCTGTGCTTTTAGGGCAGCTCAGGAACGGGAACTGGGAGACAAGGGATCCATCCAGGACATAGACCACTGCTGAGGGATCACACTGACCCTGGGTGGACTGGACAAGAGGGGCACTCCTGCACAAAACGCCTGTATGAGCACATCTGCACACACGTACAAACACATGTGTACACACATGCACACGTACACACACATGCACATACTGCTCTGCATGTTCCCGGTGTTTCCAGGACCCTTCGCCTGGAGCTGCTCGGGGGGGACGGCGGGGGCTGGGGAAGGACCCCCGGTAGAGTCCCCTCCTGCACCCGCTCGGGGTCTCTTTCTCCCTCCACGCCGATCCCATCCCGCCGGGGGGGACACAGGGGGACTGTCCCCGGGAGAGCGTGCGGGGGGCTCCCGGCGGCGGGCACAGGAAAGCGGCCCGCCGCCCCCCCGGCTCTGTCCGGGCCACCCCTTCCCTCCCCTCCCCCGCCCCGCCCGGCCGGGGCTGCCCGCCCCCGCCCGCGGCTCCGGAGGCGCCGGCGCCGGGAAAAGCCGCCGGCGGAACGGGGACCGGCCGGGAGCCCCGGGCCCGGGAGAGCCGGCGAGGAGGAGGAGGGACGGGACGGTCTGTGCCGCGGCCCCCGGCCCCTCTGCCACTTCCTGGGAAACATGGTAATTCCTGGGGCATCCCTCTCCCTGCCGCTGCCCCTCCCCGCCGCTGCCGGTCCCGCGGGCACCGGGTGGGCACGGGGTGGGCAGCGGGAGCGACAGCAGAGGGAGGTCGGGAGCGAAGGGGGAAGGAGGTGCCAAGGCAGAGGTGGGTGTGGAGGTGGGTGTCAGGGCAGAGGTGGGTGCGAAGGCAGAGACAGATGTGAAGGTGGAGCTTGGGCAAGGTTGGATGTCGGGGGAGGAGGAGGACGTGGCCGTGGCCGCTGGGCAGGTGTGTGCGGGGCCGCATCCTGCGGTGCTTCAACTTCCGTGCAAAGTTAGTGAGGGGGATGGCGTGCAGCGGCGGGGGCTGCCGGGCGAGCCGTGCCGAGCAGGGATGCTCCAGAGCCATTGGATCGTTCCCCTCCGCAGCCGGCACGTGCCGTTGCCCCGGGCTCTGCTGAGCTCGCCCGCTCTGGGCCAGGCTGAGCGCTTGCATCGCGCCCTGCCAAAGCTGGTGACAGCAAGGGCTGCGGAGAGGCGGAGGAATTGGTATTCAGGACTGGTCCCAGGCTCAAACCTCTCCTTCCTGAGCAGCGGGGAGAAAGGAGCTGGAGCTGAGTCACCCTGTGGCTTCGGGCACGAGTTAAACAACTTTACCACACCAAAACCCCAAAGCCCAGCCCGTCTTGTTGATGTAAACCAGTTTAAAAATATGGGTATTTGGGGAGAAATATCAATCTCTATTTAACAGCGCTTTGGCTTATTAAAATGGAAATAGCTTTGCAAATGTAAATCTCCTTATGCTCCCTAATGCCTTTGTTCCAGCTCCCTCCCAGTGGGTGGAGGGGCTGCTTTTGGATTCCTATGGGCTCCTGGCCGGCCCGGATGCAGCTTCGCCGACAAACCCAGAGCCGCTGCACCATGGTTACCCCAAAAGCCTCCCCCAGTGATGAAGTGCTTTGTGACACTCCATGAAAACATTTTTAGTCAGTAATTCCAGGCCAAAATATTCCCCAGCACAACTCGGGCTGTGTCTGGTGCCTCCATCAGTCCCTGGTTCTCTCCTGACACTGGCTCACACAGTCCCTGCCACTGGATGAAGTCCTGGGTGGTAGGACAACAGGAAACAGCCTCAAGTGGTGCCAGGGAAGGGTTAGACTGGATACTAGAGAAAAATTTCTCAACTGAATGAGTTGTCAAGCACTGGCACAGGCTGCCCAGGCAATGCTGGAGTCACCAGCCCTGGGAGGATTTAAAAGATTGTTGGAGGCAAGGCAGGCAGTTCTGGCTCATCTCTCATGGCAGCATTCAGAGCTGGATGGATCCTCCTGTGCTCTTGTGGCTCCTGCCTCGGTGTTGGGACGGGGTGGAAGTCCAGCTAGGTAGTGCTGGGCATGGAGGTGGTGGGCACCCAGCTGGGTTCAGCACTGGGGACCAGGTGGCTGCACCAGGGCCCCACTGGAGCAACATGGAATGGCGTGCTGGGCTTTGCCCTTCATCAGGGATGTTCCAGAGTAAGGTCTCCAGTCCATTCTAGGAACTGTACAGAATAAAACAAAGCTTGAGGAGAAAGGTCCAAGGGCAGAAAGCCTGGACAGGAAACATGGTGGCAGATCAGGGCCCTGAGAAGGGACTGGCTTGCCTCCTCTTCTGCCCAGCTCTCTGGCTTCTCCTGTCAGGTGCAGGGGCAGGAGATTCCTGTGCCGAGACACAGAAAAAAAGTCACAAAGAATTAACCAGAGCATGACTGCAAAGTGCTTTAGCTAAAGTGCATTAAAACTAATTAAGCTGAATTAACCGTGGCCCCTTTGTCTCTGTATGGGCTCCTGGACCAGGGATTAGCTGCCTGAAAGTAATGCTCACCTTGAGCTAATCCCACCAGACTTCCTGGGTGCTCTTATGGGAGCAGGACCTGGCTGCTTGGAGGATGCTCCTCTTCCCCACTTGCCGATGGGGTCCCCTTGACAGGTGTGCCAGACTCATCCCTGCGCAGCCTGGGCATCACGGGAGCTGTGGGATGGCTTCTCTCCATGTACCAGCCGTGCCACACAGCCTCCAGCTCCTGCAGCACTGAGAGAATGAACTGGGACCTGCTGGTCCACAGCCCCAGTGTCCTCACCCTGCTCTGGGGCAGTGCGGGGGGATGCAACGCGGCAGAACGCTTCCCAGAAAATACAGGAATAACTTTGAGTTTGGCGAATTCAGCAATGAGTCTGGACCAAAACACCCTATCCATCTTCAGATGTTTGTCCTTCCTCCCATCTGCTGCATTCCTGCAGCGAGCTGCGGAGCCCGGCACAGCCCTGCGATCTGTCTGGTCTGACTCCTGTTAACCCCTCGGCTGCTGCGGACCCCCGCCTCCGCATGGCTGGCTGCCTCGGGGCGCATCCCAGGCTCCTTCAGCACAGCCCGGCGCTGGGAGCCGGACCCGCCCCGCCTGCTCCGTGCTTGCTGTGCTGCACTCCCGGCTCCCCCCGCTTCCAGCCCAGGAGAGTTTGGAGCCCCTGAGCTCAGCAGCATTGCCAGTGTGGGCGTCCCGCGGCCCCGACAGTGGCACAGTGCAGCGTGGGATGGTGGGCAGAGACACCGGGCCAGGCGGGTCGGTGTCCCCGCTGCGGGGCCGCTGTCCCAGCAGCGACGCTCGCCTCTCTCCCGCAGGATGCCGGCTCTCTGGATGCGGCGGTGCAAAGTGCTCTCCAGTCCCTCTACCCGCCCTTCGAAGCCACGGCTCCCACCGTCCTGGGCCAGGTGTTCCGGCTGCTGGAGACCAGCTACCAGGGGGATGGGCTCTGCTGCCTGCTCCAGTTCCTCATCCCCGCCAAGCGGCTCTTCGAGCGCCTGCGGCAGGCGGCCTGTGTAAGCCCCGTGTCCACAGCGGTGCCCCCATGAGCCATTCCCAGACGGGGGGATGCCCTAAGGAGCCTTCCTGCATGGGCACGCTGCCCTGTGGGTTCCCTCCCTGCACGTCCACTCCTTGTCCCATCTGCTCCCTGCAGAGGGGACTGTGGCACATCCAGCTCTCTGGGATTTGTCCAGCATATGTGGTGCTGCAATAAGGGCAGACAACTCTGGGGTCATCTTGTCTTGATCCCAGAGAGGCTTAAGCAGGAGTTTTCCCCCTGTAAGCACATGGGTAGACTCCACACTGTGGGAATAGCCGTGGCTTGCAGGGCTGTGCTGCAGGAGCTCAGCTCAGGGACGTGCATTGGGTCACCAGGCTCTTTCATCCTCACCATGGGAAGCACAGGGCCGGGCAGCAAGAGCGTGCGGGGGTGGCTGGGAGGCACAGAGCTGGCAGGGCTCTCTCATGCACTGTGTTCTTCCTCCTTCCCAGGCTCCCTACTTTAACCGCATCTTTCTCCATGAAGGCTGGCCCTTGTGTCTGCACGAGAAGGTGGTTGTGCACCTCGCGCCACTCAACCCCCTCCTGCTGCGCCCCGGGGACTTCTACCTGCAAGCAGAGCCCTGTGAGGAGCACACAGCACGTGTCACCATCAAACACCTCTCCCTGGACCTGCGCTCCGTGGAGGAGACACCTGTCCCCGAGGCCACCCACGCTCTGCTCTTCACCAACGCGTGGCTGGAGGAGGTGAACAGCAGCTGGGCCGGAGCTCCCCTGCACACCTGCCTGGTGGCCACCGAGAACGGCGTCACCCCACTGCCATGGAGCCGGATTGCCACGCCTGAGTTCACCGACAAGCCCAGGGCTGGAGCTGACAGTGAGCCCGCTGGTGCCTGGCATGAACCTGCTCCTGAGACTGCACCTGGCACACCTGTGCCCCATGGCACAGTGATTGTCCCCACGCCCTGCAGCAACTTTGTGGGCACCATCCCAGGCTGCAAGGCCACCTCTCGGAAGTCAAGCCAGGGACGATACCCAGGACTGATCAAGGTGGAGCAGGCAGGTCTGCAGAAGAAGCCAGCCATGCTGGCTGTGCCCAGCCTCAGTGAAATCATCAGCCAGAACCTGGAGGGGGAGTATGTGGACCTGCTGGAGCAATCCCAGGAGGACTTGAATGTCCTGACCAGATCCCTGCTGCTCACCTGCCCTCCAGGGAGGATAAGGGCTGGGGCTGATGAGATGCTCCCCTGGGCAAATGGGGGATCAGGAGCAGATGCGTGGCCCTGTGGGGGAGCACTGAGCTCAGAGGAGAGTCCCTGCAGCCCGGCCCTGGGGAGGAAGCTGAGCCAGGAGCCAGGGCCACATGGCCCAAAGAGCCGCCAACGTGACTCCTACATGGCCGCGCTGCAGAACCCGGTGAGCTTCGGCTCTGGGCTGATGGCAGCCATCCTGGAGGAGCCGGACAGCCCTGGCTCCGAGCTGCCCCCTGCCACCCCCCGTGAGACCCCCGCACAGCACAGGAAGGGGGCTGGCAGCCCTGCACTCCTCACCCGCCAGTCCCGCCGAGCGACTCCTGGGGTGCCAGGGCGAGGGGGGCTGGTGCAGCGGGGCAGCCCCCGGCTCCCCCCAGGTTCCAGCCACAAGTTCTCCTTCCTGAAGGGCACACGGCTCGGGGCAGCCCCTGAGGATGACAAAGTCAGCAGCCAGCACGAGGGGGCCTGGAAGAAGATGTCGGCCATCTACTCACCCAGGATGGGCAGAGCCAGGGCAGCAGGGAAAGGTACCATCCTGTGGGGCTGTGGCACCTGACCAGGCACTGCTGGGGCTTTGCCATTCCTCTGCTTCGTTGAGTGCCACCAGCTTCCCCCTCCTCTATCCCTGTGCACAGGTACGAATGCAGCCACTGCTGCTCCTGTGGAGGAACGGTCTCTGGAAAGTTCCAGCTGCAAGAATGGCCCCTCTGTGCCCAGCACTGGCACTGCTGGCCGGGAGCCTCCAGCCTGGCAGGACCTGCACGCTGGGCTGCTGCACTCGGGCATCATCTGCCTGCCAGGTACTGCTGGCACCATGAGCCTGGGGAATGGGCGGGAGAGGCCTCTGGATGGAAACACAGGCTGCTGGAGAGAGTGTTTTGGAGGAAGATTTCAGGGCTTTGCTGGAGGCCAGAAATACTCCAAGCGGAAAATTTTTTTTTCAGCTGGGCAAAAACATTAAAAACATAAATGCAGGCAGCCTGTGCAGAGCAGCTGCCCCGGTCCCAGCCGCCCCAAGCCCTCCCACACCATTCCTCTCCAGTGAAGCTGTTCAGCTTTAGCTGCCAAACACTAAACATTTGGCAACTTCTTTTTCCCAAGAACCAAAAAGCAGTAACAAAACCCATCTTCTTCTCAGGAAAAACGTCCCCAGCAGCTCTGGAATTCCAGACATCCATGCCAAGAGCCATCCTGGGCTGGGTCTCACCCTCCCAAAGGACTAGAGGGGCTGCACCATGGCAGGCTGAGCTGAGGCAGCACTGATGGTTACCCCAGCCCATTGTGGGGTGCTCAGGTCTGGCAGGTGGCTGCCAGAGGAGTCACTCAGCCTTTCTCCACAGGGAGCTCGGACAGGCTGGGCAGGGCCCTCCTCCTGGTGACCACCAGTGGCAGTGCCTGGCGGGCTGCGTGGTGCTCAGCTGCAGAGCTGGCAAAGCTCATCCTCTGCCTCTGCTCCCTCCCCAGGTAAGAGCCAGCAGGACCTGCCAGTGACCCCCAGCTGCTGCCTGGCTCAGGGCTCCCAGGCTAAGTTGGGATGGATACCCAGCATCGCACACGCTCTGGTTTGGGCACATCCCCGAGGTCCTGGACCATGCCCCTGCCAGAGGCACATGCTCTGAGCAGGAACATCCCACAGGGATGAGGCCACTGCCTGTGGCTCTGGGTTCCTGCCTGCCTGGGGGTGCAGAATGTGGGAGGGGGCTTTGAGAGGGTCCTGCCCCAGGGAAGGACCCCCACTCCTGCTGTGTTTCCCCTCGCTAGGCAAGAAATGAAGAATGGTGAGAGGCGAGAAGCGAAGGATGTTGGGCTGACGGTTGTGGTGGATGCCAGGAAGCAGCCGCCTGCTCCCGTCCTGTTCTCAGCCCTCCGCTCTGTCCAGGTATGCCAGGCTCTGTGTGCCTGTGCCATAGGCATGCCAGGGGTGTCCCTGTCTGGGAGGGAGTGCTGTCACCCTTTGGGGGTCCCTCAGAGCCTCCCCTGTGCCCACTCTCTATGCGATCCCCAAAGGTCCTTTCCAAGCCCTGCCATCACACAGCAGCGTCACCAAGAGCCCTCCAGCCTCCTGATATGTGAATGCACCAGGAAATGTGCTCTGAAGTGACAATCCTCTGCCGTGGCAGAGTCCTTGTGCCAGTGCCCAGGTAGTGCCACAGGAGTGCCCTGTGCTGTCCAGGGGCTATGGGCCCCCCTGCCACAGCCTTTGTATGCCCCATAAAACCCACATTGGCCCTGATGCTCCTCACATGGACAAGTGTCACTGGTGTCAGAGAAGGGGTTCACTCATGAGGCTCTTCCCATGGTCGTTTGCCAGGGAGGCAAGGTGCCTGGGACAAGGTCATGGCCTGAGGGACATGTTTCCATCTCCCACACCAGTGAGAGTGGGAGCCTTTTCCTTTGCAATGAGCTCACCGGCTTCAGCTGACCTAGGAAAGTCCCACACTGCTGCAGCTGTGTGGGGTTTGCCCTGGTGATTCTCCCCTGCCTCCCGCAGAGTGTCTCTCCAGGCTGCATTCACAGCATGCTGCTCCTGGCCGAGAAGGAGCTGGTCTCCCACCGTGAGAAGCTGTCTGGGGTGCAGGTGAGCCTGTCCCTGTCCCCTGAGCTGATGCAATAGGGGGTTATTCCCTGCTCCAGGCAGCCTTACAAGCCCTGTGCCCTGCAGGTGGAGACCCTGACATCGCTGAAGGCTCTGGGCCGCCACGTCGACAGTTCCCAGCTGCCCCCAGAGCTGGACGGTGCCTTCCCCTACTGCCACGGCGAGTGGGTTCAATTCTTCCAGGTGTCTGTTACCACGCCATGAGCCATTGCCTCACCTCTCCTGTGTCCCTCTGTCCCCACTGCGTCTTATGTGTCCCACACACATCCCTGGAAAAGCAACAGGAAGGGCTGGGAGAGGGGGAAGAACAGGAGAGCTCTGAGCACAGGAGGGTCAAGCTCCTTCCTACGTGCTCCTGCCTGCAGCTGCCCATCCACCTCCTCACTCCCTTCCTCACCAGCTTTAACCCAGTGCCTCACAGTATTTCCTGCTCTCTCCTGGCACTTCTCCTCCTCCTCCTCCTCATGGGCAGGCTGTCCCCACTGACCCACGGTGTGTGTCCCCCACAGAAGCTGCAGCCCTTCACAGCCAGCCTCAGGCAGGCATCGGAGCTGCTGCAGCGCTGCATCCAGGAGCTGCGGAACACCAACGCACTGGCTGGGACACAGGTAACAGGGTGGCAGCACCACACGTTGGGGACATTCCCGATGTGCCCATCTGCAGTGCAGCCACAGCAACATTTCCCTCCAGTTCCCCAAAACTTGGCACAGCTGGCCCTAGACTGGCTGCTCCTGGCCATGGGGCTGTTCCCTGTCCCCTCTGCTCCTGCCTGGGGAGCAGCCTCAGGTAGCTGTCCTGTGCTGGCTGAGACCCCAGGTGAGACACTTGTGTGACCTCCCTTCCCCCACAGGATGCAGCGGCAGGCATCAGGAGGCACCGGGAGCTGATGCAGACGGTGCTGGGTGACCCTCAGCTGGTGCGGGTGCAGCGCGAGGGGGGGTTCCTGCTGGCCAGGCTGCGCAGGGAGGCCGCGCGCCTCTGCGCCTCCGACCACGTCAGGTAGGACAGGGCAGTTCCACTGCCAGTGCCAGGGACCCCCTCTCCTGCTGGCTGACAGAGCCCCCTCCCCATGCACAGCCCGGTCCCCATCAGCCCAAGCTACGGCCATGATCAGTCCTGCTCTGGAAGCATGGACCACATGTCTGGGACAGCCCATTGCAGGAGTCCCCGCACCCTCACTGGTGCCAGATCCCTGAGAGAGTCTTCTGCCCCAGGCCAGGCCAGATCTGTCACTGCTCTGCAAGGCCGGCAGCAGTGCCTTAGGCTGGGCTCGGGAGAAGCCACTAGATGGGGCCAAGTCCCGGCCATGCCGCGCCCGGCCAGCTGTGCTGGGCTGTGCTCCTCTGGCCATGCCGCGATCGTCCGGTGATGTGCACTCGTCTGGCCGTGCCACACTCATCCAGTGATGTCACAGTCTGGCCGTGCATGGCTCCTCTGGCCATGCTGTAGTCATCCAGTAATGTCACCCCCACCTGGACGCGCCATACTCATCGGGTGATGCCGTGATGTGGCCACGCTGTTACTCACCCAGCCATGCTGTAACTGGGCCATTCCACACTCACCCGGTGATGTCGCTGTCGGCCGGGAATGCTGCACCCATCTGGTGACACCGCACTGCTCCGGCCATGCCAGGCTGCTCCACAGTCATGCATTGAGGCAGCACTGATCCACTGCTCCCTCCTGCTCTGTGGGGCAGGGCTGCACTGGTAGACGAGGATTTCCCATCCCATGGTCCCTGCCATCCATTTGCTCTGTGGGTTGGGAAGATGTCCAGGTGCCTGCAAGGCTGGGGTCAGAGCTGAGCCAGAGACCTGCTCCCCTCCACTTTGTGCATCCGTGAGCTCACCTGGCAGCACCTGGCACTGATGGCCCCTCTCCTCCCATCCCCCAGGACCGGTATGGAGCTGGCTGAGGGGCTGTATGGTCAGCTGGAGGAAGAACTTCACAACCTCGTGTCCCAGTCCAACAGCTGCCTGGAGCGCCTGGAGTTCCTCCGCAAGGTCCGGGAGCTCGAGACTGAGTTTGGCAAGGTGAGCTGGGTGTCTCTGGCGTGCCACAAGTTGAAGTTGCCTTCTGTGGTGTTCTATGGTTGAGTGTTTTGGTCACGTTTCCTTTGTTTTTGATGATGATAGAAGCCTAGAGAATGGCAGGATTGCCTGAGCTTTGATTTTCATTACGGGCGACTGTGTGTGACTGAGCCTGGGCTGGGATGCCGGGCTGGGGCAGGAAGGGGAGGTGCTGTGCACGCTGCTGCTGCCCTGGCCGGTCCCTCCTGATCCCTGTTGTCCTCTCTCACAGCTGGGCTCCTGGCTGGATGGGGAGGCAGCAGCTCGGCTGCAGGAGATGGGCACCGAGGACTGGAGTCCCGACAGCCGCCAGGGCTCCGCCGAGCACTTCAAGGAGTTCCTCACCCAGGCCACAGTACGTCTGGAGGGGCTTTTCTCTAACAGACATCCCCTGGGTTTGGAAAGAGGCTTCTGGGCAGAACTGAGTGTCCCTGAGCTGTTGAGTCACACTGCAGTCGTCAAGCTCAGCATTGTGGGGACTCTGGGCAGTCCTGCTCCAGTGAGGGGGTGGCTGTGCTGTTCTTTGGTGTGTGCTGGGCTGGGACTGCTGTCCCCAACCTCTGCTGCACTCCATCCATGCAGCTTTTTCCTACAAAGTCTGATGGGCATCCATCAGACAACAAATAACATTATGATGAAGATCTTCTTGTTCCCTTGGATGCGTAAGGCCCTTTAGTCACACGCGCTGCAGGGAGGGTGAGGCATGGTGATCCCACTTGGGACAGGAGGGACATTTGGTGCATTTTGAACCACACCAGGGCAGAGCAGAGATTTGGAAAATCCCACTGCTTTGTTTGTTCTCACTTGCCCAGAAGTGTTTCCCATCCATCTGTAATGGCAATGACAAGTGCTACCTGCAGTGCATCACCCTGCACACGTATCCCAGGTCAGCACCATTCCCAAGTGTGAGCTGTTCCTGCCTCCTGCCCCTGCAGGCTCGGTACCAGCATGGCCTGACCCTGTGCCAGGAGGCAGCTGAGGTCCGAGACACGACGTTCCCCGAGTCAGATGCCTTCCAAGTGTCTGCAGCCCTTTTCCAGACAAAGCTGATGAGCTTCTCCAAGCAGCTGGAGCGGCGGCAGGCAGAGCGGGAGCTGCTGCAGGAGCTCGTGCGTTTCTCCAACAAGGTGGGTGAGGGGATCTTCCCCTGCAGGATACGGTGCTGCTGGTGGCCAGGAAAGCAGCCACTGTCCCCTGTTTTGCAGGTGGCAGGGCTGAAGCTGGACTGCAGGCAGTGCTCGGCCCGGGCGCAGCGCGGGGAGGGCCAGGCTCTGCGGTGCCTGCAGAGATCCTTCCAGAAGCTCTCGGTGGAGTTCGCCCTGGAGAAGCTGAAGGAGATGAAGGCTCAGGTGCGCAGGATGCAGAGCAGCCAAGGGCTGGCAGCCTGGACGGAGGCACAGCACAGGTACCAGGAGACCCGGCATGTCCTGGAGGAGATGCTGGCAGAACTGCAGGAGGCCTGGGAAGCACAAACTGATGGGCAGGGAGGCTCCTCCTGCCCCCCCAGCCCAGGGTCTGCAGCTCCTCACATGGAAATGCCAGTGTGCAGAGCAGCCCCCTGTCCTGAGCCAGCAGTGCTGGGGGGCAGGGGGTTGGCAGAGCAGCCAGAGACCAGCACTGAGGGGCCAGGACAGCCCCAGGGGCAGGGACAGTCCCAGCCCAGCACCACTCCTGGCTCCATGCTGGGTGTGGAGCAGAGCTCTCTGCAGCCCCACTGCCAGCTGGGCCCTCAGGGTGCCCACACCTCTCACCACCACATCTCAGCTGACACCCCCCATCCCAAACCCAAGAGCAAAGCCAGCCTGGGAGTGACAGGACACGTGGCCCAGGAGCGCAGCCAGCCCCTTCGGAGGCGTCCCTTCACCCTGCCTCCCTGGACACGCTTCCCAGGTGCTGACCCACCATGCCCTGCTGCCGTGCCCCATGGCACTGCCTCAGATCCCAGCACAGCTGGTGCACCAGCGGGGCCACGGGCAGAAGCTGCCCAGTACTTCCAGATTTCCAGCCAGAGCAGCTTCTCCTCTGAAGACTCAGATTCACAGAACTCTGTGGAAGAAGCCCCAGCAGCAAGCCTGGCTTTGTCCAGGGACCTCCAGAGTCCCAGACCACCCTGCCCATCTGAAAAGGCCCAGCAGATCATTTACCTGGAGAACCACCACACTGAAAGTTCTGCTAAAGCAAACGCCAAGTAACCAATTCCTCCAGCTGAGGCTGTTTCTGTCCAGCTGCATGTGTTGTGATCACAGACTGGATGAGACTTGCCATGCTCAGAGGTGGGATGCTGGAACTTCTTACCCCACCTTCAGTCCCAGAATCTTTGGTTTCCTGTCCTTAGCGCTCTCCCTGCCGTGGATCAGCAGTAATTCCATCACCAGCTCACAGGGTTCATTCACAATCTACCAGATGTGTAGCAATCCTCTCATAAAGTGCCTTTATCCCTACCAGTGCCAGCCTTGTCTCAGGGTGGGGAGGGTTCCCACATTGGAAGCTGTGCCTGGAGCATCCCAGGGGAGTGCAGACCTGTGAGATGTTCCTGTTACTCACTGTGCTCCCTGCTCCTCTGGATGGTTTTACCATCCCTGTGCTGCTGCTGCAGCCCTGGCTGAGCCCCAGCAGTGGGCCCTGGGCTTGTGTGTGCTCATTAACACGGGACTAACTCCATTAACATCAATAAACCTGAAGAGAAACACCTGGATGGTCCTCATGGAGGAGAGTGAGAAGTTGTGCCCCACTGAGAGCCGGCTGCTGGGGTTCACACCCAGGTTCCAGAGGCTCCCACCACCCCAGCACAGTCCAAGAATGCCCCCTGTGCCCCCTGTATGGGCCGTGCCCACAGCCTGGCTCCCTGCTTGCTGCCAGCACCTTGGTCCTGCTCAAAGGACCCTTTTGCAAGGGTTAAGTGCCTCAGTCTCCTGTCCTCCCTCGCAGTACATGAGCAGAGTGGTGTCATCCTGCCCAGCCTCCCCACTGTTTTGGGAACGCGCTGTCCTGAAGCCTTTGGGACCCGTTGGGTCGGGTGCGACCCTGCCGATCCCAAAGCAGCCTGAGGTCCCCGGAGACCCTGTCCCTGCAGTCACATCCCTGCTCTGCCTGTCTGGGCACCCGGGAGGGACCCTGACTGGGGGCCAGGCGCTGGCCGGCCGCCCCCTGGGCAGCCACAGCATGAGCTAATAATCAGGAGACATCAGAGGAGAAGCGATCTGCGCCTTGGAGGCCGTTCCAGAAAAACACACTCCTCCTGCCAGCCCAGCACGGCCACGGCTCGCACCCCGCGGGAGCTGCGCCTCGGCAAAGGGCACGGCCCAGCCTGCCTGAGCATCACTCATACCCCCCTCAGCCTTGTTTGTGCCAGATCCCGAGGCCAAGCCCCGCTGAGCTCCCTACGGCCCCAGCTGCCCCCCACGGGGCCACCTCCTCCTGCCTGGGTCATTTCTGAAGCATTAACGGGACCGACCCCAGCCCTGCCTGTCCAAGGACCTCTGCCTGTCACCACTCATGCTCCTACCCAATTGTCTGCTCTTTACTTCCCCTACAGTTCTTTATATTCCATCTTCTCCACCTCAACGCTGATTTCCCTACTGACAATTCTGTCCCTGCTCCACTGAAATCCTGGTCACTGAGTCCATCCCATTCCTTTTGGTCTGAAAGTCGTTGTCCTAGAGAACCTGGACAGGTCTGCACAGCCTGTCCTGTGTGAGCCTAGAGGTCATTCCATTCTCCAATAATGCCACATCCTGAGAGGCACCAAGGTCACCGAGCCAGGACATTTCTACCTCTTCATGACATGTCCCTGCTTCCCATCCCCATGTGCCCACTCCCTATCCCCTGTGGCCAGTGCAAGCCGTGCCCAGCTGGATGGGACCCAGCTCACTGCCAGAGCCAAAAATCTTTTCTCCCTCTAGCATCATTCCAAGCCAAGCCTGACAGTTCCCTTGCTCAATTTTCCAGTCTGTTGCGAGCTGATCTGCTGTATCCCCCCCATTCCAGTTTTTAGGTAGGAGAAGTAGCACTTTCCAGTGAGGAGAGTCATTTTTCAAACCAGATGGAATTATGATTCTTCTGAATAAAGCAAACAATGACTTTCCTGTTGTTTTCTTTTTCCATAAGTAAAATAAAAAAAAGGATATTTTGCAAATCCTGAGTTTAACTGATAACAAACAGGGGAATTTCCGGCCTGTGACTGGAGGGTGAATCGTTTCCCTGGAAGGGTCCTGTGCACTCAAGAGTCATCAGCCCCCACAGCTGGATGGGCATACCCAGATCCCTTCTTCCCTCCTACCAAAAAGTGTTTTGCAACATTCTGGCAAAAATTTTCTTATCTCTGCTGATCCTTCAGCACATGATTTATGGCTCCCAAGTTTGACCAATTAAGCCATAACCTTTCCAAAAAGGCAAGTACAGGAGTTAATCAATGTCTCCTTTCCCTCATGAAATGGCAAAATCATTTGTCAGGGGCTGGCAGGGATCCAGCAGTGTGAGCTGGTCAGGGTCTGGCAGTGCCCGGGTGCAGAGCACCCTCCAGCCTTGGAGGGAAGCTCCCACAAAACCCCAGGAAATACTTTTTTCCAAAGGAAAAAAGATCGAAAATGTTGGATAGAGAAGATGACAAAGCCAGCTCAGAGAAATGGAGGGCCCATCAGGGATCAGGCACAGATCCCAGCCCCAGGGAATGACCTTCTCTTCCCCATGGCAGTTCCTGGGTCACCGTTCCCCCTGTGGTTCCTGAGCAGAGCAGACAGTACATGGGTTAGCACAGAGCAGGGAGCTCTGACCAGAGACAGCCACGGCACTCTTCTTCCTCCTTCCCCTCCTCACCACCAGATTCCCACCAAGCTCTGCCCTACAAACTGCAGGGGCTGCAGGGTCACTGGGTTCAATTGTGACAAGAAGAGCAAAGGGGAAAAACAGAAGAGGAAGAGCAAGAGGCACTGAGGTTTCCACACTCCCAGCCACAGCCACTGCTGTGCCTTGTCCCTGTCAAGGAGGAAGTGTGGGAAATGGGTGACAAGGCAGAAACACAGTGACAAGAGCATGTGGGAAAATTCAGAGCCCCCGAGGGGGCCCCCCAGCAGTTCTGGTGCCAGCAGAGCCACCACAAGCCCCTTCCTGTCCTGGCAGCCCCTGCACTGGGGTTCAGCCACAAACAGCCATGGGAGTTCAGAAGCACAAGCTGGGGGCTTGGTCCATGCCACAGTGGGAACTGTCTTGCCTGGATTTGTCCTCCTGGGTGACAGCCAGGGTCTGGTTTCAGCAGGTAAACACAGAGGCAGCTCTGGGTGCAAGAGGGAGCTGAGCTGTGGGACAAGGACACCAGCTCAGTCCTGGCTTTGGGACGTGGCTGCAAGCAGAGGTATCCCAGAGAAGCTTCATTATCTCCAAGTGCCTGCTCTGGCAGACCAAAAAGAGGTCTTGCCTGTCACTGAGCTGGGGTTGCTGGTGCTCTGTGGAGCTGCAGGATAGCCATAAGGAATAGAAAACCAAAGAAATCAGTGATAGCAGAGGAAAACAGGAAGGGTGAAGGGTAACGCCAAAGGGTAGAGCTCCAAGGCCTGGACATAACTCAATCTGATCTAAGCTGGCCAGGGAAAGGCCAACCCAGCTGCATTCCAAAATCCCAGCTGTGCTGCATCCCGAGGGATGGATGGAAAACGCCTTTGCCAGTGCTTGCTCTGCTGCCTGCAGACACCCACCCTGGGAAGACAATGGCAGGACACAGGTGACCTGCAGGGGGGACACACGGCTCATGTGATAGCCCTGGGGGTACCACCCACCTTCAGGCATTAAATCTGGACGTGTGAACTCACAGAGCAGCACAAACACTCTGTGCACCATGTGGGGAGCACAGACCCTTCTTGTTTCCCCCTGCAGACCCGCTGGAGCCCGCAAGCTGTGAGGTGGTGAGGGATTACCGGGGAGTGGTGCCCTGGGGGAACAGGAGCCCTGGGGAGGGAGGGCTGGGGGCGTTCCAGCAAACTGCTGGGAAATGACGGCCAGAGGCTGGAATTCAGTTTGCACCAGGTACGGCCAGATCACTCTGCAAAACATTGTGTTTGGCTCATGACTGCCCTGGCAGAGGACGGGAGCCCATCCTGCAGCGCTGCAGCCCACTCTGGAGTGCTGGGGGACCCTGCCACAGTGGGACTGGCTTTGTCCCCATCCTGGGGCTACCAGCAAGGCAAGGTTTGGCACAGCTGGAGAGTCCACCCCCCTGCATGCAATGCTGTGTCCAGCACAGGACCCAGCTCCCAGGGGCTTGCTTGGGACCCTGCCAGAGAAGCCCCAGCTTTCCTGCCCCCACCGTGCTTGCAGACCCAATAAACCCGGAGATGTTCAAGAGGGTTTTTTCCTCTAATTTATTTTAAATAAAAATACAGAGTGCCTAAAAACAAAGAGAGTTACATAATGAATTCCTCCTGACACCCCCCAGCAGCGGGAGGGGTGCCTTGCTCCAGGACTCCCCAGAGAAGCTGGTTATCAGCTGCTGGCCGATCCCTCCAGGCCATGCTGCTCCAGGCTCTGCATTTTTCGGGAACAGCCTCTGGCTCAGCCCGAGCCGTGAGCCGGAGCCAGAGCCCCGGGCAGCGTCCGACAGCCCCGCACATCCCTCCCCTGCTCCGTGGGCCGTGTCTGCCCTGTGCCCGCCGCACCGGAGCGCGCCACGCCTGCCTGGGGGCCAGGTGGGAAAACAATCTGCTTTTCCTTAAAAAGCCACTTCTCCTCCCAAAGGACAGGCTGCAGTGCTTGGCCTGGCACAGCTGCCGCAGGAACAAGCCCCCCTTTCTGCCGGCTCCGAGCCCCGCTGCGCTGAGCCAGAGCTGCCCGGGGCAGCCTCAGCCCAGAGCCAGCGCGACCCGCCAGCCCCATCCTGCCTCCTGCACGCCCTCGGGGACCCCGGGCTGCCCCTGGGCTCTGCCCACCGCGAAAGCAGCAGCTACAGGATTTCATCCCGGCTTTGGGAAGAACTTTCCATGCTCACAGGTCAGAGGTGTGAGAGGGGTGCTTGCTGCATCGTGCATGCCAGGATGCCCACACAGTCCCCAGAGCTCCCTGCTAGTCCTGTCACCGTGGGCATGAAACACTTTTTGTCCTGAAGTCACATCCCCGCGGGGCCCCTCACAGACCCCCACCCCGGGCGATGCCGGGCCCCCAGAGGAGCACAGAGGAGCCCGGCTTTGGGGGCTGCAGGAGCAGCGGCTGGGCTGAGGCTGAGCTTGGGGAGCACCCGGGGCGGGCGGCAGCGAGGGGATGGACAGAGCTCCTGCAGCCGATTCACGGCTTCACAGGGCGACTCGGAGCAGACACTGCCCCTTTTCAGGGGTTGTTTATCTGCCGGCACAAGGGACTGAGTCAGGACGTGCGGGCCCTGGAGGGGCTGCAGCCGCCCGGCACACACCCAGCAGAGCAAACAGCGGCTCTGTCTGTGCGGGACAGCGGCAGCGACCGGCGCTGCAGGGACCGGCTCGCTTTGAAGCAGCTCCAGGAGAGGGGCGGGGGCGCTGAAAGTCGCAATCCTGCACTGAACACCTTGAGCAAATGAGGAGTTATTCTGGGCTTCAGCAGTGCAAACACCCTCTTAATGCAACCCTGTCTTAGTAAGAAGGGTAAAAATAACACCAGCAGTGTGGCTGGCCTGCCACGGGCGGCATTTTCCAGTGCCTGGGCAGACAGATGCCTCCGCGGTAAAAGGGG